AAAAAATTCATGGGACGCAAAGGCTATGCACAAAAAGGTATATAATTTGAAATTCAAATTTCAAAACATTCAATTTCTTAAAGCTCCGACTGGGAATGGAAGATCACAACAATGGAACATGACATGGCGACGTCGAATATAGAAAACAAACGAATTTCGGTGATGATTTTCAAAAGTTCCAAGAAAGCTCGGGAAATTCGTGCTGATCCTCGTCCAAGCTTCACTTTCCCATGCATGCTGATGCATGGTCCTGAAAATTATACAAGAGAAAGGAAAGAAAGATTCTCAGTAGAATTTTCAAATAGCATTTTCTGTGTTGCAAAAAAAAAAAATTAGCAAGCCATGAACAGTGCGAATTTCACAACATATGCCATCAAACGAATTTTTCTAGTGAACTATATTATTCCGTCACACTGTTCCTCGGATGCTTCAAGAGAACTTTCAAGTCGCTGAAGCAGTAGAAAAAAAAAGAATGTGTCGTTAACTGCGAGATTGACACTTTAAAGTGACACGGAATCTTTCCTCAATTCATCAAAGAGTAATTCACAGGCTTTCAAAATTCATTCAATTTTGTGAAGCTCTTAGTAGCTTCCTCATTTGCCTCGTAAATAAAAACTCAACAGTTTCGAATTCAAAACGTGGGGGGCAAATGATAAAAAAAATTTTAGATACCAAAGGGCTTCCTGCTAATTATTTTATATCCTTGCACCTCCACGTCAGATTGAAATTTAAAAATAAAATAAACGAAATACTTGAGCGACCCTTCCAATAAATCATAGCACTGGTCCAAGAAAAATTCAGGCTTACTCAACAATAACAAAGATACATAAAATTACAACAACAACAACAAAAACACCCACTACCACACACAAAATTATTGGACAGAAACTTATTTTGAATGTCAGTAACGAAATCTTCAACAACAACAACAAAGATGAATCTCAGCACCTCTATGGCAGATTGGCTGAAGTAGTCTGCACACAAGGGACAAGGCACATCATCCGGCTGCTGCTGACCAGGTTTGCGTGCCTTTTGCTTTGGCAAAGTCGATGGACCCTACGGAAAAACGATTCAAAACAGAGCTTCTTCCATACTCACATTCAGCACATGTTGCCTACTAGTCACAAGTATATCTATGAATGCCCAAACGAACTCAGTCTAATTTTCAATCCCATTCTCTAAAAGTACTGTAATACATGCTACCTTCGTACTTAGCTTGAGCCCGACAAAATTAAATGGAACGAGGTTAAAGCGACATCTACACAACAGGGACAAAAATTAGGGCCCGGCAAAATTAAATGCTGATAACATCTGAGCTGACTGACCAATCTCATTTAAACAAAATGGAAACAACCCTCACGTAACCCACCCAAGCGGAATCATCACTTCAATTGAATGCAATCCACATTCAGGCGACATCTATCTACGACACACGAAAGAAAATTAGACTCGACGGGCAGACCAAAATTACATTCAACATCACATGAAACCAGAACAACAGTCGAAAAGACAACGATACCTACTGTAAAAACTGCATCAGATGTTTTGTTGTTGTCGTCGCCGTCGTCATCGGACAAATTGAAAACGCGGGGCCGTCTCAAAGTTCTGCCACTTCTGCTCTTGGCTTCCGCAGCCTCCAGCACAGGGTTGCCCCCAGCGACACCCGCAGCAATTTGCGACAGCTCCTC